AGGAAAAGTGTTTGTCATTTTAAATGACATAAAGTTATGTCATTTTAGGAGAGAGATAGACACAAAATAATTTTTTTTATTTAAAATTTAAATAAAAAAAACCACCCACTTTCTCTCTCCCATGATTTTCATTTTTTGTGTCTATCTCTCTCCTAAAATAACATAGCTTAAGTCATTTAAAATGACAAATATCAAACCCTTATATAAAGATGTTCTTGGGATTTTGAAGGGAGAGAGATTAAATTATTTGTTATTAGGATAAATTGTAAAGGTAAATAATAAAATTCATAAATAAAAGTTTAGAATAAGGTTATAATTGAAAAATAAGGGGAATGTTATACTTACAACCTATTTTCTTTTACAACATTTTACTATCATATCTTAATCGTTGATTTTCACCAATCAATGATTGTCATTTATTGCTAATTATTAATTAATTAATAAATTTAATTTGCAAAAATCTTAACCGTTGATTGACGGAAATCAACGGTTAAGATATGATTGTAAGAAATTGTAAACGAAAATTGATCGTAAGTATAATCTTTCCCAAAAAACAAATATAAAAATTACAAAAAACTGATATACATCTTAAAAAAACTCTTCTCAAGAGTTTTTAACTTTTAACTATTTTTTCATTATAAAAAATTCTTTTTAATATAAGAGTTTTTGTAAAATTATATTTAACTAAATTTTTGTTTATAAAAAATAAGAACTTGGCACTAAGATAAAAAAAATCTACTAGAATGTTTAGTCCCTTTAAGTTATTTTTAATTTGTATAAAGTAGTACAGTTAAGAGATTTTAATTAAATGGATACAATCATAACGCATAATATTTGTCAGAAGAGATCGGCTACCAATCATGTTAAAGAATTACGTCACTGAAGTGTTACAGTCAGTTATGTCCTCTGAGAGAAGAAAGATCAAAAGTCTATTTCATTTTCTTTATTAAAGTTGTCAATTGCAGTCGTATGGCACACGGAATACGAGATAACATGACACTCTGACACATTAATTTTAAATAATGTTAAATTTTGACATGTTAGAACACGTTTTGATATTATATAATATTTTTAATTTATGTAGTATATGTTATATTTAGTATTCAATAATCTAACAAAAAAAATAAAGCTAAACTTATAATACTCGTCAATTTTGTAAAGAAACATAATATATCCCAAATGTTTATATTAAATTCAATAAAATCATAATTATAATCTAACGAATCTAATAGTTGAAATTTAAAATGTAACGCAACATAACCTTTGAATCTTTTTTGAGTCTTTACAATGAGTATTAAAATATCTGAGTGTCAAAAAATGTCGAACACGATACGTTAAATTTTTTTGAAGTGCAGGTGCTTCATAAAAGATAGGATCCGAAAGGCCATTTGTTAAATTCACGAGGACCCACCGTAAAAAAAAAAAAAAGGAGTTGGCACGATTTTTAATGTATGTGCATGAGAAAACTAACTTCTCTTGAGAAACTAATTCCGCTTAGGGTTTTATTATTCTCCTTCAACATAAGATAGGTATTTTATATTGTAGAGATAAAATAGGTGGGTCCCACCATTACAAGAAAAAGGTGAGGTGCGGAAATCGAAACAAGAGAGTAGGAGAGAAGTAATCTTACGTAAAAATAGAGTAATATTTTCCTTCCGCTTGTTAAAATGCTTCGATGCATAGTAACTTTGTCTATAATTATATTGTTATCATTTTCCTCTCTATTTTTTTCGGTGATAATTTATAGCTCTTGGCTCTTGCTATTAAAAAACTCTTTTTTTTTTCCTCTCTCCTGCAAATTATTGCAATCATGCTATATCATCTCCTATCATTTCATCTTCTTTTTATTTTTTTACCTGTGATAACATTAACAATTGCATGTAAATTTGGAACAACCAACAACCTAGGTGAATTGCACAACAATATGCAAATAGCTCTTGTGACATTTTATAACTATAAGCGATTATTTGGTGTTCAGGATAGTGAGACCGTGATAAGATAGATTATCATAATTTATTCATAGTTTGGTGATGCAATAGGTTATTCTGGGGCCGTTTCATATAAAGTTTTTATTAGGATTTTCGAGAAATCGAAGATGGTAATTTTATTTACTCATGTTTGATATGAAATTTTTAAAATTTTCTCGAGAATCTGATTTTTCCAAATTTTTTATTTTTTGTGTAATTTTTTTGAAATATCATCCACGTAAGTAGTATTCTAGGATTTCTATGACAAGGAAAATTTTAATACAACCAAACATAGTATCGAGAAAATTAACTCAATATTTCTGGAAATATTTTAGTCTATTAAACAATTTTTTTGTAATATTCCTGAAAAACTCATTTTCTGATCATATTCGTATAAATCGTGATTCCCGAATAAAAAAAATTCATTCTCTACCAAACACCCCCTAAAGGGGACTTGTGTTAGGAATGGATATAATAGGATAACAAATATCATATTTTTCTCATTCCAAATATAATCTTATTTTATTCTCCTATGAATTTTGTTGGGCATGTGAAAGTCAGTCCTTGCCACCGACAAGCCGCGAGCCATCAACCACCTCTACCACCAGACACTAACCACCATTGCCACAACTAGCCATCACCATCATCACCGATCAGCCCCATAATTACCACTGGTCACTATCACCACCACCACCACCACCACTTCCACATGGCACCAACCATAACCACTAGCCACTGCCCTCAGCCACCATAATTGCCACAGTGCAGCTATCACCACCACTTTCACTAACCACCACCCCCAATTGCCACCACCATCATCATTCATGCACCATCTCAAGCACCGCCACCCCTAACCTATGATGCATCGACACCGACACGAGACACGACACGACACGACATGACACGTCGACACGTTAATTCTAAAAACTGTCATATTTCGACACGTTGGGACACATTTTGATATTAAATAAAAATTCTAATATATGTAATATAATTTATATTTAATACATTTAAGAGTCCATAATAAGTCATATAACCAATCAAATATTTAAATTTCATAACATAAATATAAATAAAATAATTTTTCGTACTTTGTTAATTTTTCATGTCAAATTTCATAACAGAAAAAAATTAATTTATAAATTAATTTTTTATATTTAGTTAATAAAATAAAATTAAGATTTAAAAAAAAATGTGTCGGAGCGTTTACTGCGTGTCGGAAAAACATGTCGAAACGTGTCGGAGAGTTGACCGCGTGTCCCCAAATGTTGATCGCGTGTCGAATCGTGTCCGTGTCGGACACGTGTCCGACACGCAAAATTTTCAAAAAATCTGTGTCCGTGCTTGTTAGCCCCTAACAACTAAACACCAACCATCACTGCCACCACTGTTGTCATCATCAGTTTATCACTACCATTACTGGTCTCATCACCACAATCCATTGTCACCATCCCCACAACTACTACCAACAATCACTGTCACTAGCCATTGGTCACTGACAAATAATTTAAGGTGATGTTTGGTAGGAGAGAAGGAAAAAAATTACCCAGAAAAAAGGGTAGAGAAAATTATATAGCCATGTTTGGTAGGAAGAATAGTTGAAAGGGTGTGGAAAAAAAAATTTCCCGTCTAATTGTTTTACACATAAACTATCATGTGAATTTTGCCATCGAATGGGTGGAAAATTTTTTTTCTAAGCGGTGGTAAAGCTATAACACCTTTTGGTTGACGAAATTACCCTGCGCATGTGACTCAATATCTCAGGATCTTTCTTCTGCTTACGGAGGTCACACATTTTTGCTTGTCCATATATGTATTTTGTGTTGCACATGCATATACAGAACCTTACATATAAACGCTTTTTGTTCACATGTTGCATGCGTTTTAACATCCCAGCTTTGTACTATTTATTTGTGCAATCAGAAACATATTCTGTGAATTTGTATTTACTTGTTTTTTTTTCCCAGGTTTATTACAAATCTGATAAAATTATTTGGTTTATTATTAATTTTTTATTTTATTTTATTTTTCAGTTCATTAGAAATGTGAAAAATTCCGTTGCAGATTTGTTGCATCTGTACAGGGGACATTCAATATTCAAAATGGTGGGCTTTTTGGTAATTTACGTTTACTTTCCCATTAATATTTTACAACTATCCAAACACATCATCAGTTAAATTCACCCAATTTTCATGAAAAATTTTTGGCCCACAAAATACCTTTTTTTAACTTACATGGCAAAAAATTCTTCCCACCATATTTCATCAAATTTTTTCTTGATAAAAAAATATTTCTCCTGTACCAAATGCCCTCTAAGACTTAATTTTTAAAATTTAAATGGTGAGGTTATATTTTTTAAAAATTTTTCTAAATTATTTTTGTATTTTAATATATTTAATTTAAAATAAAAATTAATGTGTAAAAAATAAAAAATAATCTAAAAATCAACTTTTAAAAATATAAAATTATGTTAAATAGGATATTTTTATCTATTTATCTCATCAGGTACGATAACATTATCGTATCAAATTAGTTATCTAATATACATCAAATAGCTTATCATTCTCATATGTTATCTTATTCTTATGTTATCGAATTCATTCCTATTATTCTATCAGACTTTTTATATAAGATGAATTCATTCCTATTGTTCTATCAGAGTTTTTATATAAGATGATGGTTATGTTTATAATTTTTTTTTTTAACAATTTTTTATAACCATATCTTAACATCGTTGATTTTTGTTAATTAACGGTTATTATTTTTTCAAATTAAATTCATTAATTAATTATTAATTTATAATAAAATATAACCGTTGATTAATGTAAATTAATAATATTAAAATATGATTGTAAGAGGTGATAAATTTTTTTTTTGTAAATATATATATATATATTTTTGATATTCGTAACGGAGATTTTCATGTGTTTTTTAATTCCAACCTACCATACTTTATAACAGTGACAATTAAAAATTAAATAAATAAAGAAGTAAAGAAGATAGAAATCGTGGTAGAATCTCCGCGTCTTCTGAGTAAGACAGTGAGTGCAGAAACAAACCCTAGAACTGGAACTGAAGAACAATTGAACGTTGATAATTGGAACCGCTCTGGAATTGGATGAACTGAGAATCGTAATCAATGGGTGCGAGTCGAAAGCTTCAGGGAGAGATAGATCGCGTTCTCAAGAAGGTTCAGGAAGGTGTTGAAGTCTTTGATAGCATCTGGAACAAGGTCCTTCTTCTTCTTCTGCTTCTCTCACTTTATTATTATTTCTTTTTTCGATTTCCACTTTTTCCGAACAAAACCAAAAATCACACGAGCAATGTCGGGGTTGGTTCTTCTTCGTTTTGTGATAGGTTTACGACACGGACAATGCTAACCAGAAGGAGAAATTTGAGGCAGACCTCAAGAAGGAGATTAAGAAGCTCCAGAGATATAGAGACCAAATTAAGACTTGGATTCAGTCCAGTGAGATCAAGGACAAGAAGGTATTACCTTGAAGAAAGCAACCAAAATGCCAAATTTCTAGGCTTTTTTTTTTAGATTTATCAGGCATCATGTTTTTGTATAAGTTAACGTTATTGTGTGCTTGGTTTTGCTTCATTTTATGGGAAATATCAGCTTTTTCATTTTTCCGAAAGTTGGCAGATTAATCTAAACATACAGTGTCTATATTGTAAATTTCCCCAGAAGTTAGTTGGTCTTATCTGTTTATTGAAATAGGGTGTACATTTTGCGGAGTTAGCCTCGGGAATTATATATAAATGTGTTTCCGGGAAAGTTACATTCTATGGATGTATGTTCTTGCAAGGAATCAGTAATCACATTGTATCATATTAGTATGGAGCTGAACCGAGTGGATTGTATAACACTATTCATTTAGTGATGCTACGTATTGTCCAGTCTGATTAGGTGTTAGTGGCATACTTGTAGCGACCGACCCTGAAAATGGTATAGCGGTATTGCCGCTACGATGAAGTTTTAATTCCACATATATTACACTAACAGTCTAATACTACACAAATATAAATGCTCAAACCTAAGAAGTCACACAAAATCAAACACATCATTCCACAATCAATGTCAAATACAAGAAACATAAAGGAAGGATCTAAAATTAAACACAAATGAACAATGAATTCCACAAAATCAAACATATAATTTGACAATCAATGTCAAATAGCGGGTAGCGTTGTGTTGCACACCTGTACACGCAGCTACGTTATGCCGCTACCGGCCAGCATTGTGTCGCGGTTGTAGCGGCCGGCCGCCACTACTGTAGTGGTTTAGCGGCGCTACGGGCCGCTACTGACAACCCAGGTTAGTGGTGCTGTTTGGCTTGACTTGTGTGATAGTGTGGTGTGTAATATTAAATGTTGAATTTTAACTCATCGGCTTTGAGTTTGACAATGCTTTCTGTTGTGACACATCTTGAAATAGGTTAGTGCCTCGTATGAGCAGGCTCTGGTGGATGCGCGCAAGCTAATTGAGCGTGAAATGGAAAGATTTAAGATCTGTGAGAAGGAGACTAAGACCAAAGCATTCTCTAAAGAAGGCTTGGGTCAACAGCCTAAGACTGTGAGTCTTTAATCAGGGGAAATATTACCTTTTTTTTTTTTTTTCATTTTACCACTTTTTGGTTTTTTCTTGGTGTCCTATGATTATGTTTATGTTGTTCTGGATTGAGAATTGTGTTATCTAACTGTTTTCTGACAGGATCCTAAAGAAAAGGCTAAATCAGAGACGAGGGATTGGTTAAACAACGTGGTATGAAATCAATTCCTTTGAATAACCTTCAACTTTCCTTTGTTGGGTTCAGTTCAGTATGGCTAGTACTTGTAGTTCATCCGTCTTCATGTGCACAGTGCTTGCACAGGGAAATGCTCAGCCTTGTTTGCTTTGTATCTAATATTTATTTCAGCATGCTAAAACTTACAGTGCAGTTTGACTGTTGAGACCTTTCTGCTATTGGCAATATCTAAGTTTATGTTGGTTCTTAAGATTTGTGTTCTCTTAGAATACTGTTTGTACTAGTCTAGTGCCTGTTTTCCTGGTGATTCTCATTGGGGTGTCACTTTGATCTTGTATTATTTAAATGAGATCATATTAATTTGACTCATGTACTTATATCTCTCTCTTCATTTGCAGTATGCTCTTCTTATTGTTATTTCATTTGAGTAGGTTGGAGAGTTAGAATCTCAGATTGATAGCTTTGAAGCTGAGCTTGAAGGACTTTCCGTCAAGAAAGGAAAAAACAAGCCACCCAGATTGGTATGAAATAAAGGACATACATTTTGTGGGAATGATGGTTTACCTTTCTCATGGTCATTGACATGTTTCTTTTCTTTGTCAGACCCACCTAGAGACATCAATTACTCGACACAAGGCTCATATAAAGAAATGTGAATTTATATTGAGACTACTAGATAATGATGAATTAAGTCCTGAGGAGGTTAATGATGTCAAAGATTTCTTAGACGACTATGTAGAGCGTAATCAGGTTTGCCTTTTAGAAATCATTCTGCTTTAAAAAGTTGAGCACTGAGTAGATGTTGATGTACCTACCAGCCCTTTGTATAGTCTTTTTAGAGAGTCCTTAAGGGTGTCTTTGGAGGGGAAGGTAGTGGAGGGTTTTATTTTAAGTAAACATTCCCCTTATTTTTAAAACTTTCAAAATGAGAGATTATCATGTAACCTTCCAATCATTACTTATTCATTTTTATAAACATTTTATAGTTTTCACACTTTTGAAATGAAAGTTACCCCTCCTCGCCTTTCCAATTTCCTCATCCACACATCTCCTAATGCTTGATACTATACAAAATTTATGACTTATAACTATTCTTTGTTTTTTCTAATTTTCTTTTTCTTCTACAGGAAGATCCTGATGATTTCGATGATGTCGATGAACTATACAGTTCATTACCTTTAGACAAGGTGGATACTCTAGAAGATCTTGTTACAATTCCGCCCGGTCTTGCTAAGGTATTTGTTTCTCATTCTTTCTTTTTGCAAACACACAAATACATATCGATGCATATGTAGATTTGTGTTATGGGATTGGCAGATATCAACTAATTTGGGCATGTTGGCATTTTCCCCCTGAATTCCCGGTTGGACTGTCTATTTTCTATTGCTATTATATGTCTACAAAGTTAATTTAGTGCATGTTGACTGTTGTGGGTTCTACTCATGGGAATAGTTCCACCTACAGGGGTAACCCTGTATACATCATACCCTACCCGAAACCCACAATGGTGGTGCCTTATGCACTAATGACCTTTTATTTTATTTTATTTTTTTATGTTTATGTTGGGCATTTTGACTCAGCCCTGTCTTTTCAATTTATTTTTTATACTAACCTTTATGTTAACATATTAGAATAACTATTTGTGGAACTCCTAATTTATTATGTGTTTTTTCAGGTGGTGCCTGGTCTTAGCTTGAAGAATACATCACAAACAGCGTCAGGATCTGCATCACAAACATCTGTATGTATTTCTTGTTTCTATGACCTGAAAATATTTCTTAGGAGTCTGTTGTCGAAAATTGAAATGTAAGAATGTTTCAGAAATCTTCTTTGGGATTCTTGCTTTTATGTAGTTTATTTTACTTCCTGTAGTGGTATTTACTATTTTGATGGTTTGCAATGATGATAAATGGTGAATTCAACTGATTCTGATATGAGGATTCATTTGCTTTGCTCCAAGTAGTTGGGAATTGGGATTAATAGTTGTCAATTTAAGATGCTTATTTTGAGTGGCATCGAATCATAAGAAGCTGTGGCAAAGTAATAAATAACTTAAAAAACATGACATAAAAGATGTATATACCTAGGACATGAAGAAAACAATCAGTAGTTATTTTAACCCAATTCTAACATTATCAATTTTACCTGTGGCACTATATAACCCAATTTAAGCAATTTCTGATGATGTGATCTAATAGCACCTTATGAAGAATATCAATAGTAAATGATGGGATTATGACTGGAGTCTCATTTTCACCAAGTGCATGTGGGCGAATTACCATTTACCAGACTAGTGGTTAAAGGGAAGAAAAGCTGCATTTCATTAGATGCAATTTAAATAGATGAACATTAATGTTGATTTCCTTTCCAGGAAACTATGATTTCTAATCATCAGGATGCTTCTGTTCAGGAGCAAGCTGATGACACAGCATCCCAGGATAGCAATTCTGACATTGCTGCAAAAACTCCACCTTCTAAAAGTAGTGGAATTGCTTCTGCTACATCAACACCTTCTGGGAACCATGCTACTCCTGTTTCTGTGAATATTTCAGGTCATAACTCGTCCAGTGAACCAGCTGTTGCAGTCCTACCTGGTTCGAATTCTGTTCGGAATGTTTTGGAGAATACTAATATTGCCAACACTTCATCTACTGTAAATCAGTCTACCTCTATAAAGGAAGAAGATATTAATAGCTTCCATAGCCGGAGACCATCTCCATCACTTGCTGATGCAACACTTGTGAGGGGAAGAAACAGCCTGTCAAGTCAAGCAGCAGCTAGCATCCCTCTTGGTTCTGGTAACATGGTTTCCAGCAATGGAGCCCTTGGTTCAGTTCCTTCAGCCTCCGAAATAACTAAGAGAAACATATCGGGAGCTGATGATAGACTTGGAAATAGTGGGATGGTGCAGCCTCTTGTATCCCCGCTAAGTAATAGATTGATCTTGCCTCAGGTTGCGAAGACTAATGATGGAACTGCTTCAGTTGACTCTAGTACTGTTAATGAAGCTGCAGCTGCATCTGGGAGAGTTTTCTCTCCTTCCATGGTTCCTGGCATGCAATGGAGACCTGGAAGTCCCTTTCAGAATCAGAATGATGCAGTAAATATTTTGTCCAAAATTTTCTTTTGCTATTTAGTGGTCCAGTATGTTAATTTTGGTGATGTGTGGAACTTGAAGAGTGAACTGTTGGTTAATTACTTCCTCCAAAAATTATGCATTCTCTGGTGCTGTTTTAACTTTGAATTTGTTTGAGGATATCTGCATTGGCTGTAAGTAGTTTATGTGGCTTCAAAGTAGGAAATATCGTTTATGTTTATTAATAGCTTTATTGGCAGTGTAAAGAATTACTTGCAATTAGATTCTGTTATACTAAGGGTTGTTGTTTAGTTAGTTACTTGCAAATTGCAATAGTATACAAGGATATAAGATTTTTGGATGAAAATCAAAGCTAAAAACTGAACTTGTGTGTGCATATGAAATCTAGAATCCATCATGTTTTTGGAAATTCAGTCATACCCACAGTAATTATATTGTGAATCATCATCATTTTATTTATTTATTTAATTGGTAGGAATGTAGGATTACTCCTCGCTATTCGGGATTTAATGGGGAGTGATTTTAGTTTTTTTTAATTTTTATGTTTTGGTAGAATGTGTCATATCATATACATTTTCATATCGAAGACAAGTAAAAGATTACATTTGTTGATATCTAGAATATTCAGTGCTTTAAATTATATGGGTGAATCCAGTCATTTTCATGAAGATTTCCAGATGACTAGAACTATGAAATCTTCAAAAAAATTATATATACATCGATTGATTGGTTTATAATGACAGAAGATTGGAGTTCACCTGAGTTATTTTATCAAAGTCTGGATTAAAGTACCATTTCCAAACCCATGTGATCACTGCTTTTTATTTAAGACCTTTCATGCTTGATTTAATAGCTTTGGTGATCTTCCACTAATGAGAGATTTATGGTTGTGCTATGTATATATGCATGAATATATGATGCAGACAAGTGATGCTTGAATGCATTTACATTGAAAGTATTTACATGGGTGGGTTCAAATACTAGTCAGGAGTCAGGACCATTTCAAATAGTTCACTCAGTATTGTCATTGCTAGGTTGAATGAAAGTATCTTCAAATGTATCTTGTTGTGTATGTAAAATTATTACCATCTAAGGGACTTTTTCATTTTGAACTTCAGGGCCAGCTTCGTGGAAGAACTGAAATAACTCCTGATCAAAGAGAAAAGTTTTTGCAGAAGTATCAGCAAGTGCAGCAACAGGGGCCCAGTAACCTTCTTAATATGGCTTCTCTTGGTGGAAACCCTAAGCAGTTTTCTGCCCAGCAGCCAAATCCCCTTTTGCAACAGGTATTCTTTCTTGTATGCCAAATTTTCCTTCTCTTTGCTTAATGGTTCTTTTACTTCTATGGAAAGATTCATTATTGTGGGCCAAAAAGCATCTCTACGTTAGTCTCTTTTCTTCAGTTTCTTCAAATAAATATTATATTATATGTTCCTAACTATTTCTTAGTTTAATGATATTGTTTGGAAAATTAAAATCTCATCCACGGTTCTGGATTGTTTGCTTCTATTTTAGTGCCTCAACTTAAGCAACATATTAGCTGAGGTTTTGGTGTTGGCTAGTATCTTTGTGTTGTCTAAATTCATTTCCTTCTAGTATTGCTTTAGTATTATTTTTCCTGTGTTTGTTTAGTATAGACACTTTGTGCCTCTTGATAATATTGCTGAGTAAAAATTTAATTTTCTTTGTTTCTCTAGGAAATGATGGAGAAATTCTAATTTTAACTCTTAATTCATATGCTTAAAAAAAATTGCAAATGGTATTTTTCCTAAAGCTGTTATTTCCTTTTTTAATTTTCTTTCCATATATACTTTTGTCTGTGAATTAACTTTGTCTTATTAATAGCTTATTTTTTTGTTTAATGATAATATATAGCTCCATCTATGACCTGATTAGTTTTTACTTCAGAAAATATATTTTGCATGACATGATGCAATATATGCAGTTTAACTCTCAAGGTTCATCTGCTTCTTCTCAATCTGGTATGGGACTTGGACTCCAGTCCCCTGCTCTCAGTGGTATTTCATCTGCCTCATTACAGCAGCCACCCAATCCTGTCCATTCCCCGTCTAGTCAACAGCCATTGATGCCAGGTGTTTCTAAAGATGCAGGTATGTTTTTGTTACTCATCAATACTAGATTGTGTTTCGATGAATAACTTTTCCCCTTTTTAAGTTGGACTGCTTTTTTTCCTTCCTTTTCTCATTTCAACATGGGAGTGGTTAGAGTAGTATTCAGCTATGATTGTTTTACACTTTTACTGACCAATACTGAAGACAGTTTATTTTTTCTAAAATTCCCTTGCTGTCCAGAAAAGGGAAGATTATGAAAAAGGAATGCCTGATAAAAATATTTATCATGAAGGGAAAAAAGTGATGATTCTGCGGAAAAAAGGTGGCAATTTTTCCTTTTGGTAAAAATTGTTTCAGGAGTCTGCTTTGTGAGCTCCCCACCCTCCCAAAAAAAATAATAAATAAAAATCTGAAATGTCAATATCATGACACGTTCTAGTTTTCTACAAGGTTGGTGAGGTCTAGTATGTCAATCAGAAATAACATAGCTATTGAGTTGGGCTATCAATATCAAGTTCATTCATTATGTGAACACATCTGTTACAATACTTGAGATTAAAAAAAAATACCAAGATTGGTGTTGTTATGAGATAGGGTATATCATAATTTTTGTATTCTGCAGATGTTGGTAATTCTAAGATTGAAGAACAGCAGCAACATCGGAATTTTCGTGATGAGTCAACAACCGAATCTACTGTTAGTACTGGAATTGGCAAGAATCTCATAAATGAAGATGATTTGAAATCAGCATATACTGTAGATTCTCCTGTATGCCGACCAACCCTCATCTTTTTATATTCTTTAAGATATATCATACTCCCTTTTGTAACTTGCAGAAGTGTGTATCCATGTTTTTTTTTTTAATCCTTCCTACTTTGATGTGCTTGTAATGCATCATATTTTTTATCGATAAATCCAGGGATCATAAGCTGGGAAAACCAGTGGGTTAGCCATCTAGTCTTTTGATTAGTTAGGGCCAAGAAATGGACTAAACTAAACTGTGCTTGTAATCCTGACCAATGTCTTTCGCAGAAGGTAGTAAAATATAAAATTTATAGATATATTTCAGGGAAACATAGAGAGCGCATACATATATGGAAATTTTCTATTCTTTTCCGCTGTTTAGTTATTAGATTTCTTCTGTTTAGTTATTAGAGGTGTACAAATTCATTATATAGATCAATAGATGGCATCTTATTTGAAACCCAGATGACCAACTCAATAGTGGTACATTAATAAGTTAAGCTGACGAGAGGTATGGACTGAGTTGAAATGACTTAGATTTCCCTGATTTGCAGATAACAAAGTATGCATTTTGATTTATCTGTGTGCACAAGATGTGGAAGACTCTAGAGTTTGTGTTTCTGTGTGTGCGTGTGTATATATCTATAGTGAATTCAAGGATGATCTGGGTTGGCTATTTGTTGTTTATGCTGCAGGCAGGAGTATCTGCCTCTATTCCGGAGTCTGCTCAAACTTCCAGGGATATTGATTTGTCTCCAGGCCAACCTTTGCAATCCAATCAACCTACTGGTAACCTTGGTGTCATTGGAAGAAGAAATGGTTCCGAACTTGGAGCCATTGGTAATAATTTTATTGGATTGAGTGTTAGTTCTGGTGGAGTGCACAATCAATTATATAATTTGCAAATGCTTGAGGCAGCCCATTTCAAAATTCCACAACCTAAAGACTCAGAACGTCCTAGGAATTACACTCCTGTATGCATTGCTATTTATATTCATCCTCATGTTCATTGAATAATCTATTTTATGGTCATACAATAAATTTTCTTTTCCTTTTTTTGTGGTTGTGCAGAGGAATCCAACAATTACACCTCCTAGCTATCCTCAAGTACAAGCACCTACTGTTTATAATCCTGCCTTTTGGGAGAGAGTAGGTCTCGAACCATTTGGCACGGATACCCTGTTCTTTGCATTTTATTTTCAGCAGGTACTTGAACTTTCTGTGTGATTAATGTTATTCTTTCATTTCGTCATGTGTGCTTATATCCATCTTTTTTCCTGCAGAATACTTGCCAACAATATTTGGCTGCAAAGGAGCTAAAAAAGCAGTCTTGGAGATACCATCGAAAGTATAATACATGGTTTCAGCGGCATGAAGAGCCCAAAGTTGCTACCGATGAATATGAGCAGGGAACATATGTGTACTTTGATGTCCAGATTAAAAATGACGACCTGCAACATGGGTGGTATGTTGAGTAAATATTAATTCCTGTTATTTGCAGTCATAATGTGTGAATATATGAAAAATACCATATGTCGTTTGATTTGCGCTTCGGTTTCTCCTGACTTGTCTGTACCTTTATGTGGTTGTTTAGGTGTCAAAGAATCAAGACTGAATTCACTTTTGAGTATAATTATCTTGAAGATGAGCCTCTTGTATAGAAGATGCCACCTGGTAACAATGTGTGTTCTTAGTTCTTATATTTCTTTTGATCTTTGTGCTTGTTTAGTTTTAATGAGTATTTTCCTATTAGACTGATAAGCTAGTTTTGTCTTCCTAGCCTTATCAACTGAAATACAAACTTGAAAGAAAAATTTCATTGATTTAATTCTGATTATTTATTTAGTAATTTTTTGAACACTAATTAGAATAAATTTAAGATAAATATTTTGAAAGTTTAATAATACTAACAATATTGTCTTCCTGAATTCATATGATTTGATGTGATTCATAATTTTTTATTGTCTTTTACGTTGACCTTGACCATTACTTTTCTGGTTTTGATTTTAAGACGGGTAATAACTGGTATAACCCAGAAAAAGGAAACATGTAAAAGAATGAAAAAAATATGCTATTGTTTAGTTACTTAAACACATGGACACCTTGGGGCGTCACTTCTACTTTGGAAGAATATTTGGAGAACATATACGCATAGTTGAAGGCCTGACTCCTCCAGCTTGATGTTTTGAGTTGAAGTATATACAGCTTTTGTTCATTTTTGTTGTTGTTTCTGCATGAATCTGAGATCTGTGTGTATTATTTGGAGAAAAGCTTTATATTTAGAAAATGCAGTGTGACTGATTTCCCATATTGGCTGACGATTGCTACCGTAAATAAAAAAACCTGACTAACAAGGGTAAGGGTGAGGGCTATCCCTGTATGCATTCTTATCCTTGCATATTTGTAAAGAATTTTTTTTCCAGATTTGAACTCATGACCTTTCTAGCACTAAAGAATATCTTTATCACTATTCCAGGCTCGTCCTCTTTGGCGATTGCTATAGTATAGCTTTTAAAAAATTGATATCAACAGATTGATTTGTGGTTTGTGCCGTGGTTTTAGAGAGAATCGGTGACTTTTTTTGCGTCTGGATGGCTTATATTATTTGACTTCCCATCCACTTTGTTATAGCCATTGTAACGGTTCTCATTATAGTTGAATAGTCTTATTCTCCTCACAAACATTGGTAGTCCGCTTTACGAAAACTTGTTTTGTTGGTTTTTTAATCGTAGGCAGGCCATGTCCTTGCAGGTAATTGTGAAATTTGTTTGGAATTGTTGACGGGAAAGATATTGGTTATGCAATGCACATTGTGACAGCAGGTTATTAGGCTGCCATTCTTTGCCGGGGCAATGTCTTTATTATTTTCTTTTTGGTGCTAATTGTCCTAGCTTGTTAATTGCATTTAGGATTCTGTTTTCGAAGATTAAAACAATATGGATGTGTTTCCTGTTAACCTTTTTCCGATTTGAGCATTGATTGCCCCATTCGGCTTGTTTACGGACGATGAGAGAAAAGAAAATAAGATGAAAGGAATTATATGTGCATTGTGTATAAACAAGATTTCTTGTCATTTATGTTTTTGGGTCCCCATTATTCCAATATGAAAACCTTTTATTTGCAGTTTTGCAAGTTGCATCAGCAATGTAAATGGGCTGAGGTCAAACTTTGGTTTAAATAGGTTAAGTATATGAAAAATATTTTGACTTTGACTTGGCCTATTAGTTTGATATAGGCTCGCTAAATTATAGATCTAACATTACCTATTAGTTGATATAGGTTAGAATAATTTTTTTGGCTTAGGCTTAGTAGCCTATGCAAGCCTATCATGCCTACTATATTTATTAAGAATTAAAAAAAAATAATTAAAGTTAAAATAATTTAAATATTTTTATTTTATTTAATTAAAATAAATAATATGATATATACTTGATTTACCTGCCTATGGATTGTGTTCTAAACAGATTTCTTAAAGACTTGAGAATGGTCATGTTTAATCTAACATAAATTAGGTTTTAACTCATTTACACTCTAGTTGTGCGGAGTCGTGCTTGGATTTGAAGGCTTCACGTCATATGGATTAACATTATGTTTACATGGGTTTATGCACTTTTGGTTTAACTTGGTTTTAACAATTCATGTCCCTGAAGAAAGGTGCCTTAGGCACACATGCAATGTTTAAAACGAAACCTTATAGGATAGAATCTGATTGACTAATTTGAGAGAATACATGTTTGAAATATTTGACTTTGTGGTTGGTTATATTTACCACCCTTTTAGGTTTGTTATTCTTATAATTAATTTTTTTATCGTTGGATCAATTTAAAATTAACAGTGAAAAAAAAAATTGCCGTTGATAATAATCAAACAAATTGTTAGAGTAATAACCCTAAAATGATGATAATTATAACCTTTCCTCTTGACTTTTGCCATATGGATGAAAAGTTGGGCAAACAACCAACTTCTACTTGGAGGACAGTTTGCACAAACCTAACTCATCAAGGAAGGCCATGTGAATCAAAAACATTTATGGAACATACAACTGATTGATTGTATGGAATGCTAGCCTTTTAACATTTTTTTTATTGGATCTAATTTTATACTGGTCTCATTAAATAATTTGGATGCCCCCTCTATCAGTGAGTTTAGCATGTCATTTCACCCAATTATAGATAAATTGTTAAAAAAAAGTGTCATATATACGTTGCTAGCAAATTTCTTTATTTTATTATATACAAGTGAACGAAAAGGTTTAGCAAATGTTGTTTTCAACTACCAAAATTGTAATTGCAATCACCAACAAATAGAACTTCTGGTTTCTTCGTGACTTGAAAAATTATTCAGTTTAATATGATCTTGCCTTTGAATAGGTTTCACTTACGAAGATATAAATTACGTTCTCAGGGGAGTCTAGCTTTCTCCTTTTAAAAAAACAAAATTAAATAAATTATTGTTGAATCTAATTGGCATAATAATAAAATCTTAGTCAGGCCACTGTTGAATTTTGCCTATTACCATCATCCAATATATCCCAACCAAATAAAACATGCATAGAATATTACTTTTTATATTTAAAAAAAATAGTTGTTATTTACTAGTATTGACATTCTCTCTTCTTCTTTTTTTTACCACTTTTTATAATACGTAAAATTGGACCCATTTTCCTGGAAAATATGTTCCATTGTGTATTTGCTGTTTAAAGGATAAGTGAGTACGTCCTTTCTGAGGTCAATAGGTAATAGTATGTCGTTGGTAGATTCATATTTATTAAAGTGGAAAGGTGAGAAGAGGGGCGTAAATCGGTTCGATTGGTCTAATAGCGTCTACGGTTCTACTTATGTTACGTTAGATTCGACTTATTATATTATATATAGTCAGATAAAATAGACTCAAGTCTAAAAAAAATCTATTTAAAAAACGGGTTATAAGCTTTTTTCTATATTCAAGTCAATAAGTTTGTCGGCCGGCTTATATTATATTTCTTATTTTAAATAAAATAAATAAATTATTATTTTAATAATTTTGAAGAATAAAATAATATTATTTTAATTATTATTTTTAAATTATTGAATACCTAATAAGCTTAAACAGGCTAATAGACCTATGTCAATATTTTTATTTTTTAAAGATAAGTCAGATCAGATTTATAATTTTGACTTATACAGACTAAAAGACCATTTCAGACTTAAAATATTTTACACAAACTTCACCTATTTAAGTTAAAGGTTAACCCAACCCAATCTATTAATACCCAATGGCCCAATGCGACCATTCAAGTTGGCTGTACATTAGTATCTAAATATTGTTGTCATATTAATAAATAGTCGTAAGTTCTTTGGAGCAGTGTTTTAAAACTCGGTTCAGACCGGCCGGGTCGACTCGGGGCTCGGTGACCCGGTGGGTTCCCCGGTCCGAGCAGGTAGTTAGATCGTTTTTGCAGTCAACCCGGATTGGACCGGTTGACCCGGTCGAAACCCGGTGACCCGAGTTAGACCGGTTATTCCTTTTCTTTCTTTTTTTGTAAATTTTGTTGTTGTTGATAAGAACTCTTGAATTAAATCATATTCATATTTTATGATGAATATGATTAAAAGTAAGGTGAAAATAATAAGGTATTTTAGATTAGTGCAGTTCGTTTATGTAATTTAGTTGCATCTTATAATGATCTCATGAAGTTAAGTGGTGATAAATACTGATGGTCTCATGATCTCATCTCAACGGTGGACACTTTTTTTTAGTGTATATTTCATGCATACTATTTGTTATCATGATAACGGTGACACTCTTTTCTTAGTGTATATTTCATGCATACTATTTGTTATCATGATTTAATTTATCCGTATCATGTCAAGCACAAAAGATGCATTTAACTTATATTACAATTTTAATCCAATATTAGGATATGGTCTAGAGCTAGAAGCTTAGAAGTATATAATATTTGCTATCATTGAAAATCAATTTATTTTTTGAAGCTCATTGATAGTTTTCTTATGTGAAGTTTTATTAATATAAGTAATATTTTTATACTTTTAATATGTGAACAGCAAATTCAGTTCAACATGGTTGAACTAGTGATTCAGTACCTCGACCGGTTCGATGATCGATCCGAGTTTTAAAACACTACTTTGAAGGCTTATTAGTTATTTCCTGTTTGAGCAACCACAGAATAAGCCCTAGGTTTTGTACTTTTTCCATTTGCCAAAGTGTCAAAACACGACCATCATCGTAAACCAATTATCAAATACATAATTTTTGCATGCATATAAATTACTTATAAGGTTCATATTTTGTGTCTGTATCTTTGTTTTTTTATAAGGAAAAATATTTCTACTTTAAATTTTGTCTATAAAGTCCTAGTTTACAAAAATCTCAAAAAGAACTATTTTAGTGCTTTTATCATGAGTTAAAGATAATATAAAGGACAAATCGAGTTAAAAATAATATATTTGGAAAAAATATCATAAAAGTATTATATCACATAAACTTTGTATTAATGCAACAAATGAATGTATTATTTTAGGGATTTATGAATATTATGTCACAGGACGAAGCTTGTATCATGCTACACTCACAATGCAAGTGGGTCCTACCAATTTTTATATAAAAAAAAAAATGCACAGATATCGATCTGTCTGCAGAAGCTACTGTCAAATTCCTGTAATATAATCAAATGATTTCCCATTATTTTATTGCACAATAGAATTGATATAAAAAAACTTTTTAGACAGGAGAGAGAAAAACTGACTGAATGCATGATTTTTATTTTTATTTTCAATTTAAGTGTGTAAATAATGTTAATCATTTTGTGATCAAAGATAATGTTCAATTGAGTGATCTATTGCATTAGTAACTTCTTTCATGAGTTATTGAAACACAGGTAGTGCTACTGAACTTTCTAGGATCCCATCATTGCCTGCGTCCAATTAAGTCCATGAAAGTAACATGTCCACTATAATTCAGCATCGCTTTTTTCAAACTAGTCGGTTGGTTGTTGGAAGTTGGAACAACGATGATATTTTTTTGATCCAATAATAAGAAAATTGGTGATAAACAAATTTGAAAGGAAAAATATTATTATTATTATTACTCCACGGATTTCATTTCAAAGAGACGCTCCTTTTTGTTCAAAATATTTGAATAATTTATTAGCAAGCTCAGTTTTCTTTTTCTTTTTTAACTGAATCTCCACATTAGATTGTTGATTGAAACTGTTCCTAAATGAATATTAATGTATAGCTGAAACGCTAGTAATTGTATCTACCCAACTATGGTAGATACGACAGATAATGAGAAGTGACTCTCTAGCCAAGTCCGATGAAAATATTGTAATGGGTGTGTTTGTATTCCTGGAGACGGTGAAAGCTCTTTTGTGCTAAAGAATGTATTGTAATGCGATATGATTAAGATAAACCTTGTGAAGCACTCTTCAAGTATATATAAGGATCTTTGGAATGGTTATTTAGGAGAAAAGTGACCTTAGAGCGGTTATCTGGCAGGAGGTGATCATGGATGGAAAAAAAAAGAGATATAGAATCGTGGATCATATACCTACGTCCCAGATTGATGACTCATACCTTAGCCCGTTGGATCTCCTTAGATGAGAAGCCCAACTGAGAACTAGGCTTATCAATATTATTAAACCCGACTCGGTCGAAGTACTGAATTATTGGATTATTGGTCGAATCGATTGATCCAGATATATATAGATATGAACATATTTCTCCATATCTAAAATAAGCTTAAAAACATGAAGCACAAATAAATGAAAATACATTTTATTACTATGTCAATTTAAATTACAACTCAAAATTTTCATAAACATACCTCTCAATGACATTAAACTTATATATATTTTTTTTTTTTTGGTACATCATATTTTTCAAATTCATTTACATTAAAATGACATATGTCACATTCTCTTAATTTACTATTCCACAATTATTTCTGTATTGGAAGTTGAAATTTGAGGTAATTATAGAAGAGTATACCAACAAATAAAATTACAAAAAAAAATTTAAAATGAGTTTCATGTTTATTTCTGACAAGATGAAATAATTTTGATATTTTGATTTTTTTTAAAAAA